TAAGCCATCTGGCTCGATTGTTGCTGGCATGTTGAAAGGTATCAATTGGCATAAATATAACTTATGGCATAAATATAACTCATGCATTGTAAATGTTTATTTAGACTCTTAATTCACAAAAAAATTACTTCATATATGTTGATATATATATGCACATTTCAGCACAATTCACTCCCCATGCATGTAGCTATATTTTGGTTGTGATTTGATTTCTCTCGACTAGCTCCTCGAATCGGAAACGTGGAACGCGGAAAAGTCTCAAATCGTACAAATCGTAGAGACTGTATGAAAGTAATGAAGCTATATCAATGATGTTCATTGTGTGACATTGTTTATTACAATAAAAAAACAAGAGTGTCGTACAATGAACATCATAATATTGCTCCGGGAAATTTAGCCTATAGGCTTTGATAATGCACAAAATATCATCTGGTCAACATAATTAGAGCTGTGGCCCGTGTGAAAAATATAACAAAACAGAAATTATGATTATATTATACCATTTAAGTTTTGTTGATATTAAACTACCATAAACCATCAAAGACGCCGTCTACAAATTCCGTGTTTTGAGATTGAGTTTAGCGCTATGTTTTAACCAAGTGCGTGCAGCCTTGCGCACAACTGGCCCAAGCCCAAGGGCAAGTTGCCAAGCTAACGTGTACAAACATTTAAGTTTGACCTTTCGGATATTTCGCTTATATATATTTCGCCATACTTCATCAGAAAACGAACATTAGAATTTATCTTGCTTGGACAACATATCAGCTGCTTGGGCAACAAGAAAATATTCACTAATTTTTAATTTGGGCTCCTTTATTAGGAAATTACATTCCGGATATTAAATTGCAATTATGCATGGTCATTGCACCTTGAAGCCTGCCAGCTAGAGCGGCAAAATGAACAAATTTGAAATGGCGCCTATCAACTGTTTATGCGTATATGAGCGCGCGGGTAAAGACCTTTACCAGTAATTTCGCGAAGACTAAACCAAATATTTGCTGGATATTAACATCTATATGGAGAAGTCAAGGCGTTTTACCCCTGCATATAAAGGTATGAGACTATACGAAACATTAGCTATTATATAAGGCAAGTCATGACTGGGCATACTTTATTAGGCGCGCTTGCAATTATTTCCCTCCCAGCATTGAAATCAGGCTTATCGATGAAATCATCAACAGAATTCGTATTACGGTTGGCTCGATTTAAAGTTTTTTTTCCTTGAGTGTGTTTGCCTGGCTAAACTGTAGCTCTCTATTGATCCATGCATATATCGAAATATGACACGCATTCGAAGTAAGATTTCATATAGATGATCATGCAATTGTATATAACAAGACGTTCTCAATTGCATTTTATGTATATATGCTAACGCGAGTAAAATGGAGTCGGATATAAATGCGCACTGCAATATAATCCTTTAGATTACTTGCCATGGCCGGTGGAATCGAGTTGGGCCACGATCATCCAATCATTCCGAATAAACATGACATGAAAGGTTGCCAGACCTTTAAAATGGCTTGGCTGAGGTTAGAGTAGTTGTTAGCTTGGTGGTTACAATTTAATAGGATGCATTTACTCACATTGAAACAACAATTGTTTGCAAACTTTTCTGACATTTGTCAAAAAATATGTGGGTAGATGCTACCTTGAAATATATACCTAATTATATGATATAAAAAGTTTTCGCAAGACAAAATGGATTGATGCTTTGATGCATGCCTTAATCATCTGTCTGGGGAAATCTTGATTAGTTAATTTTATTGTAAGCAGGCGGCACAAATTGTGTCACAAGTAGATGTCTCGAAGATGTTAAGGATCGGGTGTTTCTTAAAATGGTGAGTATAAACTCCCCTGTGCATGCATTTGGCATTGTCGTTTCTATATGGGCGGCAGCATTGCTATAAGCTTTGCAGAAAAAAATTATTTGCACTCTTTGTGATTTAAAAACTCGGTTTCTATATGGGCCGTGTGCTATTGCTATATGCTTTAGTAAAAATAATGTGCACTTTTGTCTTGCTGCCGGGGTTGAGTATTAAGTTGCTTTGCAGGGCGGATTTTCGGACCTTTAGGATTGCGGATTGCCGCGGTCGTTTGAAATGAAGATTTCGAAAATTATCCCACTAATTTATGCGTTCTATTTCTTTAGGTCACTATTGTTAGGCTCATGCAGTTAGCTTAGGCATTTTTACACAGTTAACTATGTAGATGGTCGAATATATGGGGGGAATGAATATAGTGACCACCAATAATTTAGTTAGATCACAAGTATTAATTAGCGACTTGTTATACTGGTTAAAAATCATAACACATGCATATGTGATCGTATGGTCACAAAATATGTAACTAATATGGCGGCAGAAATAGCGACATTGCAGCAGGCAATCGACAAAATAGATTATTGTCAAATTTTAAAATATTCTTAAGGTAATGATGCCCTTAGTTGCTAGTGACTTGCTACTGACAGTACTGTGTATAGGCGACATTCCGCGACAAGCTTGACCGCGGCTAAAGCTAGGCTACTGCACTGTTATTTTCAGGGAGTTATTTTAACTCCCCTATTATCCTTTTTTGGTGGAGTTAAAAATTTAACTCTAGGTTTGGAGTAAGAATAACTCTCTTTGAGGAGTTAATAATTTTTAGAACTTATTAACTATGCAGAATTAACTCCTTTTGGGGGAGTTAAGCAATCTAACTCTGTTTTATGAGTTATTTTGACTCACCTATTATCCTTTTTTGGGGGTAGTTAAAATTTTGACTATTATTTCGGAGTTAAAATAACTCTCTTCGAAATATGCAGAATTAACTCCTTTTGTGGTTAAGAAATTCAACTCTCTTTTTGGAGTTAAATAAATTCAAAATGGCGTGCGCAAGAGGAGCGGGTTAATAATTTATTGTAATTTTTTGTTATTATAAACATGAATGATTTAATTCTGGAGTGAAAAACACGGAGAAGGCAAGTAAAGTTACGAATGTTTGTGCCACTAATATTATTTGACTTTTAAACCTTATATCTTACCTTATATGTTTCTTATTAATCACGATGTGTAAAGTTTCTTCTCACGGCATTTAAGTTCAGGTTAACTGGTTAAAGCTGTTCTGTTCAGCTGTATCAGAGCCATTCCCCCATAATATAATAAGGAACAATGACGGGGCTGACTATGATCTATTGAGTTTTTGAATTATAAAAGTGTTATTTATAAAATAGGCAGCGTTTCATTCGGACATTCCAGTCGCATTGAACTTTACAACTTTTAATATCTTAAAAATAAATTTAGTTTTATGCTCTTATCATCATGCATATTTATGTAAATAATAGACAAGTTTATAATGAGTAGCCTAGTTTATACTGTATGTTTCGTCCGTGAATAACATTGGTGTACGTTAAAAGAAACAAATGATGTTAGAGTTATTTAAAAGTGGGCTATGAAAAGGTGATCCTTTTAGACAATTAATATCAATTTAGAGCTTTTTTACTGTTCTGCCTTTTCAAAAATACAATTCACAATATTACAAATGATAATAAGATAAGTAAGGGAAACAAAATTTAGGCAGATCATTTAACTGGTTTTGCTTCTAATTCAAGTCTCTGGAACTATTACAATGAAAATTCTGGCTTTTTGCTCAGTGATTTCAAAGTTTGATAAGTCACTAATAATTTTAATGAGTTCAATGTGGAACTGTAGGTATTTATCAATGCAGATGTTGCTTGCTATTAATTCACTTGATCAAATGTCTGTTAATTAAGGCAAAACTGACAACTCATGAAATTTTGTGAGATATAGTGAGAACCCTCAAAGTTTTTTAGTTCAATAATCCAATACACACACACAAATACAATTTGCATCAGAACACTGAAAGTAGAAATGTAATTTAGACTCTACTTAATATAACTGGTCTGTTGATTTAAAAAAATGGCTTTCATATGTTCAATATTAACTTTAAACCCACTTCAGAAAACGAAGGCCTGGGTTTTAGGACCGAATAAAGCTTTGCAGCTTTATTTATATAGATCAATATATATATATATATATATAATATATATTATTATATATATATATATATATATATATATATATATTTATATAACTATACATATAACTATACATCATTACTTAATACAATGAAACCTAATTTAATCATTTAACAACAATGTTACTGTTTGTATGGATATATGTTGTTACATGATATTAAGTTCTATGTATGATTGTTTGGTCTAGACCAAACATATTGGTTTATTATCTATAAACAAATATAGATAAGACAAGTATCTTATACTACGACACATGCTTAAAGATGTTAGGGTGGGGGCGTGTATATTTTCAATTAGGCAAATATGTGTTTATGTCTTTTCTTACCAGCCAATTACATATTACAACAAAAACTAAGTTAAAACTGTAGTGTACAAGCGAATAAAATTATAGTAGCAGTTTAAAGTACATTTTACACTTAATAGGCAGAAGAAGTTAGCTACGTTGCAAAACTGCATGTGGAGTACAGTACCATATTATGTTGCACATTTCAATTTCTATAAAATGTGCACATTGTCCTTTTTCCACTTCTTTGTTTTTCTTTAGTTCCGCGTGAAAGCGCCCAGACAATAAAAAATTCCACTATATTCTTGTATGTTTGCATGGTGAAAGCAATAAGTAAATAGTGGTACACCACATAGGTATCTAAAGCTGCAAAGCTTTCGGTCCTAAAACCCAGGCCTTCGTCAGTGGAATTGGCCTTTCTCATGATGACGTTTTTGGGGTACTTTCAGTTTCTGAAATGGGTTTAAAATTAATATTTAACATGCATGGAAGGCATTTACTTTAAATCAACAGACCCCATTTGAATAATAAATTTAGCCTACAATTTAGCCTACAACAGTCGCCGTTACGAGGTCTCACGTTCACGGTTTTGAAAAATGTGCCCCCAGAATGGCGACCTATTCGTCATCGTAAGAAAGGCTAATTACATTGATCATTGCACATTTGCACTTTAACTCAAATTTTAACATCATTTTTTAGTCGCTCGTTTATGAAGTTGAACATTTCTTTCACAAACATTTTGTTGATCAATAGAAGCCTTATTTTGTAAATTCTTGAAACAAACAGCGGTGCAGAACCATATGAACAAAAACAGCGATTAAAATTTAACCTAGCTTTGAACAACCGGCCCCTGGATAACAGACCGAAAGTTTCGAAGTATTAAATACTTACGTGGTGTACCTACAAGCTAATTTACGTACTGCATAGTAACATGTATTGAATCATTGTAAACTTGTATTTTGCAGTGTACAACTGGAGTATGGTAATGTGACTCTAACTATTGGTGCCAAGATCATATCGTGTACAGATGTACCTTGTACCACCTCGTCTTCCATATGGACGACATATTTGCTTCGGAATATAGCAGCTGAACTCAGATTGCTTGAATATCTTCATATCATCGGCTGATGGAAGACTAACCTCGTAACACTGGAAATGGCTGTTGAATATGTTGGTCTCCATTGGCTCGACAACAAACTGAATGCCCATCAAGTTCTTCTCAACTATACAAATCTTGTGAATTCTCCAAAATAATGGGCAGTCATGCTCATCATATCCAATATGTACTGCTGCATTACATTTGTACTTCGTACCTCCAATAACAACCCACTTCGCTCTTGGATTAGAAAAGAGGAAAATGATAAAAATCTGTCATCCATGCATATACTTAAGGCTAGATTCCACTCAGGATAATGATCCGTGGATGGGAACGGACAGAAAAGTTTTTCTTTGTGTTAAAGTCATTAGTTCCAACCCAGAGCTCACAACTGAGACAAAGAAAAACTTTCCTGCATGTCCGTTCCAATCCACGGATCATTATCCTGAGTGGAATCTAGCCTTTATACAGTATATGTATGTAAGGCTAGGGATTGCTTACTGAGGTTGCAATAGACCTTTTCCCATTTAGCTTTCAAGCGCGCTATGCGTGACGGTAGTTAATTATCAATTAACTTTGAGTTGCGTTATCGCTCTGCTTCTTATTGCTTCTTTGTTAAACAAAATCGCTCCTGAATATGGCCAATTCACGACTCAAATAATCAACTACCGCGCAAAGGCATTTCGCGCTTGAACGCTAAAAGGGGGGAAAGGTCTATTGAATTAGTTGTTGAATAGTTGTTCTTTTGTATGTTCGGCATGTAAAATCGTAAATTTTTAACTTACTCAAAAACAGAGGTTTGTGGAATCACATCACAAAACTCATATGACTCACAAAGCAAATCATAGTAGCCTAAATTTCCAGCATACGTTTCTGTGCCTAAAAATATTTAAATAAGGAATACTGTAAATGAGTGTATACATCATAAGTGCGCATTATCCAAATAGTGTGGGTTCGCCGGACCTTCATTGGGCCTCTCATGACGAACGGCTTTGTCACGAAATGTCGAGGGATTTTTAAACTAATGACATAAACCGTTCTTATGGGCTTCATAATAAACCATAAAACTGTCACGTTATACATAATTGATAGCCGTATGTAATTAGTGTAATAAATCATGAACGTGTACCTGGACCAATATCAATTCCTTTTTGAAGAAAAGTAGAGTGGCCCCCTTCCGACATGTTAATGCGGTAACATAGCCCTTCCTGGTGCCGTTTTGTCAGAGAATACGGCAGATTGATGAAGTTACCACATGAAATGGCCAAGCGTTTGAAGTACGAGTGTTTTGCCTCATACCTCATGCACCAAATCCTGATGAGCGGTCCCAATCTGTAATCAGTAATCGGGTAATTAGTGAAGGGGTATAATAATACGTTGAAACCTCATAAAGCAAATAAGCTTACTTTAACATAATCCTCGGCATATGGATCATGTAGTGCATCTTGGGTATGATAGACGCATGTGGATATAGTAGCCGGAAATTTTCATGATGATTTTGGATCAGGACTTGGAGATAAGGCATTTGCTCTTTGCTTATCAGCGGGGAGAATATAATGCGCACTATTTCCAGCAATACACAATAGGCATTCCAATGGTCGTCATCTTCTGTCATAAACTCTCCAATTAAAAGAGGAAGGAATAAGCCCAGGCACCACATCTCATTAGCTGTGACATAATAATAAACCAAAATTAGGATGACATGCATGCATGCAGTTAAATAATTTCTAAAAAAAATTCATATTCTTGATATATTCGGTTAACAATTCGATCAACAATTACGTCTTACCATGTTGCTTAAGGCTATTGTCATTGGACAAGAGTTTCTGCCTCAAGATTGGTGCCGGTTTGTTTGAGTCATTGTGGTACCTGGAATATCGATGTATGTTTTTTAAGGATAGTTAATACTTGTGGCATGGTAAGGGACCGTTCATTATTTTTACCTCAGGGGGGGCAAATGAAATTACAAGGGGAAAATCTTTTTTACTGAACTCCATTAAATCCAATATTTTAACACTGTTTTTTATGGCTCTATATGGCTCTATAGCTTCATTGTATTTTCCATAAGACATA